AGCCCGAGCAGCAGCAACCCGAGCCTGCACAGCGTCGCGGGCTCGCTGCAGGAGGACGCGCGCGGGCGGCCGTCGCGCAAGCCGAGCTTCAGGCGGCGGCTCACGGACAGCTTCCGTGCGAACACGGCGTCGTCCGAGTCGCGCCATCGCCGATCGCCCTCGCTCCCGTCGAACATGAGCTACAGCGTCACGCCTTCCCCGACGCCGTCCCCGAACAAGGCGAGCTTCGCGCCGCACTCGGCGCGCTCGGCGCATTCGAGCAGGAAGCGGTCGAGCGGCGGCCCCATACCCGCGCTGTACCAGTGCCGCGTGATACACCCATGCGAGCCCCCGCCAGGCGTGTCGTATCGCGACTTGCCGTTCTTCACGCTCCGGGTGGACGACGTGTATGATATCCTCAAGGAGGCAGGGCACCCCTCCACGCATCGCGACCTCCCGCTGTACGTCGATGACGGGGAGGACTGCCTGCTTCTCGCGCGCGATGACCTAGGCAATATTGGTTGGGTTCTCGCCAGCTTCCTGTTACCCGTGGACTAGTTCCGCAGACAATCCTTGGACTGGTTCTCTTTTCGCTCTTTGCTGCAGTTACCGGTGTATCGTCGCTGTGCATTCCCCACATGCTTGGTCTCCCTGTATATCCCCCATCCGCAGAGGCTCCTGTGTCTTGTTTTCGTCGAGGTGTACGTTGAGCCTGCGATGGATTCTCGGAAGCGTCCGTCTCGTGCTGTGTGTGCGTGTTGTACCAAGATATATCCCCTCATTTAGTTACCCCTTTTACTGCTTCACTTTCTGGCACATGTAGGTAGACGCATGACATGCAGAAAACAGTTCAACTCCCGCTCTCGTCGCCGTTTACGCGTGACTGCCTCGCGGAGGCTCTGAGTATCTGATTCGGATGTCTCGGGCACGAGTACACATACAACGACGACCGCGCGCTATGATACAGTACATGAAGCAGCGAGGCGAGAAGCGACGAGCAACGAGGGTCTACGGTGAGGGCGGCTCGTTTGCGAGTGGTTCAATGAGACGGCCGTACTTGTCCAATGGCCAGAAATTGTTCTTGAAGAGGCAGTCCGGGTCGTACTTGCGCTTCAGCTCCGCCAATCGATCCCAGTTCTTCCCGTAGCACGCCATGGTGCGCGCGGGCGGTTCGTGTCTGCCCAGGAACTGACGTACAGGACGTTGCGCAATCAGCGACCCTGCGCTCTTACGTCGACGCGGTGTGTGTCCAATAGTAGCCACTCACTGTCGGGTATGGTCCGCCCACGGACACCTGCTTGATGGTCCCTCCCATCCACTGTGACACGCACGGCGTGCAGAGTCAGTCATTTAGGCGTGGGTGTGGAGGCGCTGCGTGCGCGGGTGCGCAGGCTCACCTGCTCTGCTGTGGTGATGCAGCGCGGGTCGTCAACGCCCATGTCCCATTGGTGGAGAGCCGCGACCGTCCACGTCGCTTCGCGCTGCTCTTTCGGAAGGCAGGTGTCCTCGAAGTCTGCAATGGCACCGCCGGCAAGCTCGAACAGCCAGGCTGCGCGTATTGAGTCGTGATGAGTCACTTCATAGCTATATCCTAGGCAAGTGACGCACTGCATCCTATGGGCGTGTCGGCGAACTCCATGACCGTCTTGTTGATGACTTCGTCCGGCAGCGTTGTAATGAGCGCAGAACGAAGGAACCACTGTCGTCCCGCTAGTCACCGGATCCAAGTTAGTCCTAGTCACCTGTACGTAGACAGTTTCGACAGGACGGGGGCCGTGAAGACGTACCCTTGCCGCGGAGAACCTGCGCGACGCTGTCCTGCTGGTTCAGGAAGCTCTTCTCGTTCACCTCGTTCAGAAGGCAGCGTTCGCCGTCCCAGCTCGAGATCGCCTGGAGGTACTCCATGCCCTTCTCCTTCGGGCCGACATAGCACATCTGAATCACGACGAGCGAGTCTTTGTCCGCAGGCCCTGCTGTGAGCAAGACGTTCGCGTACAGCTCGCGGGGTGCGTTCTTGATGCAGTCGCGGAAGTGCTTGATGAGTGAGGGCGCGGTCGCGCGGTGGAAGCGGCTGTGCGAGGCCAGTGTCGGTGGACGTTGGCGCAGTCTGGACACCAGATACTCACTAGATGAGGTTGCCGGCAAAGACGACCGGCACGGGGAAGGCTCGTGCCTTGTATCGTGTTGCAATGCCAAATGCTGGGCCTGCGCCGCGGACGGCCCACCACAGCTCTGTGGAGAGGGTCAAAGCAGTAAGCAAGGGGCGTCATGCAGTGCGAGTGCAAGAGTGTCATTCAGTCGCCAGCAGCAACACGGACACTCACCGGGGTCCTCCTCGGCATTCACGACAATGATCCGCCCATCGGCGAGCACCATCTCGATCTCGACGACGTTATCGATGCTGAGCCCATACATCCTGCTAATGAACCCAAAGCCCGCGAGAAGCATGATCGAGGATCCCACCGGGTGCGCAGACCTGTGCCCCGTTCAATTCAGTCTCCCTGAGCGCGACGGAACGGGTAGCCACGACACTCACATTGGTACGTGATACGGCACAGCCGCGTCCTTTTTCTCGCCCGTGACGGCGTTCGTGCCCTCGAGCGGGTGGTCCGCAGTGTACAGGTCGATCTCCTTCTGCCGCATGCCTGCGCCGAATGTGACGTACGCGTGCGGGTGCACGGGCTTGAAGTGCTGCATCGTGCCCAGGTGGCCGGTCCTTGCCTCGGGTATAGCTCCGGAGGATGGCGGGAAGCCGAAGGGACGAGGCGGTGAGAGGGAAGGGCCACCGCCAGTCATGAGCGGCGGCATAGCCATGTTCGACATGGGCATTGAGAACGGTGAAGAGTTGGACGGCATCCCACCGAAGCCCATGAGCGGATTCCAAGCGCTCACGCCAGAAGACGTTCCAGGGGCCACTGAAGGAGGCATAGGCCAGCTCTGAGCAGGCGGGAAGAAAGTGCCTGTCGTAGGGGTAGGCAGAGCTGAAGAGCTCTCTGGGCTCGGTCCATGGCCTAGTGGATCGGTAGTGCCATACATGGGAGGATGAGGGGAGGTAGAGGTGTCCGAAGACAGGTATGCAAAGGGCTCGCGCGGATTCGCATCCAAGCCATCCTCTTTCTCTCCGGGCGGCGATGCGATCGTCGTAGCGAACGACGAGCGCGAGTACTCGGACGCGAGCCCCAGCGCGGACTGTCGCGAGCTCTCGTCGGACGAGTTAGATTCTCCCGAGAGCTGGCGCGCATTCTCGCTGAGCCGGGGCACTTCGAGCGGTGTGCCCTTAGTAGGATGCTTTCCGTTCCCTGTGGCGCCGGTTTGACAGCATTCTGGCTGGGAAGACTCGGGCTCTGGGGAATGCAAGCGCTGGCGGTTGGTAGGCGGCTGTCGAGTAGACTCTCCCGGCTCCGGGGGGAGGGGCGGCCCACTGAGGAACGAGGCCACCGCGTACGAGGCGCCGTCGAAGGGCCCGCGCCCGGTGGACGATCCCATTTCGTCCGGACCAGTGGACGGCGAGCGATCCTCACGACGGCGCTTTCCAGGGCGCTGCGCACTTGTTCCGTCCGGCGGAGACGCCTGAGAGGGAGGGGCTGGTGCACGATCCTTGCCTTTGCTGCGAAGCGCCGGCATGTCCTTGAGAGGAGTCCAGTCCACCTCGCCGCCGCCACCTTCAGCGTCGGCATGGGTGTCGGCGCGGGGTCGCGGAGGCTCAATGTCGATGTCGGTGATCTTGCTCATGTCAATGATGACATCGCCAGCCACGGCCCATCCCGCGATGCCGTACCCCCCTGCGCGAACGGACGGCGATAGGCCGTGTTTGGCGCAGAACTTTACGACCGCGCTGACATCGTGGGCATCGAGTGGCGAGACGACTGCGCGGGCCAGAGGTTTGAGTTTGCCGTTGAACGTCTTGGTACGCTCAGCATACCTGAACATGACCGTTAGTAAATGGATCTCTCTGAGCGAGTGCGAACGCACTCGGAGTCGCTGGGACGCAAGACGGATCCCTTGACCGCGGAGGACAGCTCCCGGAAGAGTTCGTCGTCGAGTGTCTCCATGAGCTTCAGCCTGAGCTCGGGTTGACGAGGCGGATCCATCTCGTCGAGGCAGGAGCTCGCGTGGTTGCAGCGGGTAGAGCAGTGAGCACGGGGTGGATCGTGCTTTCTGTCAGTGGTGAGTTATTGTAAGCAGTGGCGGTGCTCGAGAAGTGGCAGGAGCGTAAATGGGACGTCTGAGCGGGCTTGAAACGGCAATGTGGAGAACGTCCGACAACACTTGAGCAGGCTCCGCGTTTCGACGAGTACGGAGGGGCGTTCTGTGAATCTGGAGAGCGTATTGCCCTTTTAACAGAAAAATCGACGGTCGTAAGACGGCCGGTCTAGGACGATAGGAGCTGTCAATTGGGCGGATCTGCCGTAAATAGGCAGTCAGGTTTTATAGGAGGAAGCACGCGGACGGGGGCCTCCTGGCGCATTCAGTCGTACGCGGCGGCCAGGGCGGTGTAGAAATGAATGGTGGAGGCGGAGGATAAGGTGGACGACAGCGCCAGACGGCCGCGTTCCTGTTTCTTCCGTCATTGCTATCCCGCCTCGTGTCGCTGGTGCCTCGGCACCGAGCTTCGCAAACGTACCGTCCGGTTTCGTACTTGCTCAGCTTTTGGCCAATTAATCTCAGCACCGTGCGAAAGGGACCGACGGTGCAAACCCTCACCAACCGGCAGACAGGCGGCGAGCACGAACAGGCAGAAGGATTTCCGTTATTTGTCACTGACGCTCGTCTTGCAGCCGTGTGGACGTGTCTTCGCTGTCAAGCCTATTAGCCTGGACGGGTCAGTCGGCGACGGTGTGATTGTATATCCTCAACTGGAGCGGTCAACTGGTCTCGGGCAAGTCGGGGTCATGAGCAGATCGTTGAGCAGAAGAACCGGCAAATCTGTGCGTGGACTTGAACTTTGCGGCAACGATACATAGGGTGTGGCTAGATCTACCAGAAGGGGCTATAGTACATGTACAATCTCAGCAGGTCAAGGGCACATGGTGTAGTTGGTTATCACATCCGCTTAGCACAGTATAACGTGGTATGCGGGGGGTGCTGGGTTCAATTCCCAGTGTGTCCACAGCTTTTTGCCTTCTCGACGCCTACTACTGCGTGACTCTCCGGCCTCGTCGACCTTCTCACGCGAATGCGCTTCTCGTGAGGATGTCCTGAGACACCTTTATTGCACACAGTCAGCCATGCAATTGCCCGCTGAGTGGGCAGGCGGAGGCCACGGCAGTCCCGAGCCGGCCTGCAGTGAGTTCGAGGGAAGCCGCCGAGAGCAAGGGACTCGCCAACTGGTACCCGGACCCCTTACCCTTGCCTCAGGTTAATCCGCTGCCTGGACACAGGGATTGTAGTCCTTTCAATATATAGTGAATGCACGAACAAGATGATATACAACAAGAGACCAGTGCGCTTCCAATACGGGGTCATCATAGAGGTGACTCAGGTGAGGTATATTGCTCAGTCCGTCCGGCGTGGGCTGTTAGGCACGACGGCCCAGAGCCCCACCATCAGCCCCATCATCGAAACCAGCCTGTCAATCTTGTTCAGCAACACAGACATGCCAGCGCCGGCGAGATGAGAAGTGCTCACAGAGGTTGCAAGCTCTTTATACCGGCTTTCGACGCGACGGCGCCAGTGAGGAACGGGAGGAACGCAGAGCCCGCCTGACCGAAGCCGGCGATCCAGCCTATGCACCCGGTGAGCAGCCAAGGGGGCAGTACGCGCCCAGCTTGGTTCATGACGATGGGGTACATGGGCCCGAGGAGCACCCCGACGAAAGAGACGGCGATACCGCCTCCGATGAGTGAGGGGACGAGCCAGATGACGAGCTCGAGCCTAGAGAGGTTTGGTCAGAGTGAGAAATGAGGCACAGGAGAAGCGGAGGACGTACGCTATTGCGATGATGGCGTAGAGGAAGACAGCACGACGCTCGCCGAGCTGTGAGTAACTTGTGAGACGCGACAGGCGACACACGGCTCTGGGTAAACACGTACCTTGTGGTTCACCCAGAGAAGACCAACGCGGCCGAGGGTGAGGCCTGAACGTATGCAGGATTGAGTCTCGTGTTGACTTCATCCCGAGGTTGTACCTACCTCCGAAGAAGCCAGAGGCGATGTATCCTGAAGACGGGCCTCCACCCCGCAAATCAATCACGTACTTGACAATCCAGCCTGGAAAAAGGCGTATCAACTTATTGCCGAGCAAATGGAGAGAGAAAGGATGGCTTACCTCCGAGAGTGACCTCCACGCCAACATAGATGAGGACGAAGAACGCGAGTAGATGGAGTGCACGGAGCTTGAAGATCTGCTTGTACTTGTTGCCGCTCCTGTTGTCCGTCTCTTCTTCGTGAACACTCGGGGTCTGCCCGATTTCCGTCAGGCAAGCTTAGGCGAAAGGGAGCAGCGTCAGCTTTCGATGCAATCGTGGTCGGCGCGACGAGTAGGGACTGACTGTCTTGGTCTTTGAACCGGAATACCGCAATCAAGAGGATTGTGTTGGAGATGGCGATCCCGAGGGAGACGAGGAAGTGGAAGGACCAACGGCTCAGCTGGGCAAATTGCGTCGCGACGAGTGGCGCAGAGAACGCGCCCACGCCTGTATGTCGTGTGCGGCTGGTAAGCTCGCTATACTCACTCATCGTACTCCGTGTACCTCACCATAGATCGCGTGCAGGATTCCCATTTTCGCGGACGCATTTTCTTTCAGCGAGGCGACATATCCGTTGGCACCCGCGTCCTATTTGATGTAGTGAGCAATGCGGACATACGGAATTTAATCGAAGCTGTTGTCTTGCCTGAAGGCCTATCCCGAAGCCGTTCATGAAGTATCCGAGAACAAAGACAGGGAATGGCGGCGCTGGAGCTGCCAGTACGTATCCGGCGACTTGCGCCAAGGATCCTGCAACGAGGAGCATGTTTGGCGAGGATCTTATGCATTGCAGGGTCACGATACATACCGAGAACCATGACCTGCAGAGACAGAAAGATTAAGTCCATCTAGGAGATGACGTGAGGTGCACGTACCTTACCGAAACCCAGCCTATCTGTAAGCCACACATTTGCTGCAGCGGCGGTAATGAAGCCCTGTAATACGTGTAGCTCGTTGCTCCGACAGCGAGAACGAGACTTGGCAGACTTACGAGGCAATTGAGCACGAAAATCAAGGACACCACCGCGAAGCCGACCTGGAAATAGGTTCGTCAAATCCAGGGAACCGCGACCCAGATGATCGAAGAGTAAGGACGCACATGGTACACGCTCTGTATGCGCGGCAGCAGCGGTCCTGTTGTGCCATCGTTCCACCCCGCGAGGAACAGCGTCCAGCAGAGGGTGGCGTATTGGAGTCGAGCGAGGCGCCGAGAGGCGGGCGTCGACGCTACGACGCCTTTCGCGGACGCATCGAGCTCGGGCTGAGAACTCTGTGCGGCCTCCGAGCTTGCCGTGTCTTGTTGCTTTGAGTGCGCATCTTTGCCTGAAATGGCTTCGTGCGCGGTCTGCTGGTCGAGAGGACGCGAGGACCGTGATTGCACCTTAGATAGTTCGATATCCATTGCGTTGACTGTAAGAGGGGTTGGCAGATGAAAGGAAAGCGCGTCCTATGTCAGCAGAAAACAAGACGGTGTGCTCCCGGGAGGTCCTTCAACGCATGACGTCTGTGGTTTGCAGTACTTATACTTTCCGCTTGACCTCAACGATCCCCTCGCTAAGTTCGAGTCACCGTACTCCGACGCCATCGCAATGGCTTGGTAACGTCGCACTCCACGTATGCTTTGCGTGTCAAAGATTGGCGCAGGGGTTGCGAGAGGTCTTGGCGACGCTCATATCGTCAGGAGGACCGAGGAGAGGCTTGGAAAGTGGGCAAGGCGATCGGCCGGAGGATTGTCGGAGAAATCGCGTCATAGGCGCTCACGATGGCGGCCCTACATATGTTTAGCGCGCACCCCTATACAGTAGTACGGGTGTTCGCTCACCGTATTGCTTAACCTAGACCGTGCACTGCACTGTCAGACAGTTCATTAGGTGAAGGGACGCGTAGGGAATACTGCTTACTTCTAGCCTACGCAGAAGAGCCAATTCTGGTCACAGGCGTTGCCGGTTGCAGCAGTACCGTAACGTCTGTGCAGAAACGTCAGGCCGGGCACTCACCTTCTTGAAAGGCATGCGCTGTAACAGAGCGGTGATTGTAGGCCGCCTCTCGATCGTTTGAAAGCCTGGAGAAGCACGTCTTAACCACGTCTCCGAGACTAGGTGCTCTTCGCCCCGACGCCGCCGGACTTTACAGTCGGAGGGCGCTCCGCCTTGCAGAGGAGTCACTTACCTCGTTGCTTGCGGAGGTTGAACGTTGAACAGCAGTCATCCCCCGCAGAAGGAAGGCGCATCGCCGCTGAACGAGCCATATTCAAAAGCAGTCGGCCTGCAAACGACTTCCTGGACACTCTCGGCGTAAGAGTAGCGACGATGCTGGCAAATGGAGCAATAGACACTCTCATTTTGTAGTCTGTAGTCAAGACAGTGTCGTCTGCGGACTAATGACCGTGGGTCTGGAAACCCTCAATGATTCCCTCGTAGGCGGGCTTCTTGACGAAAGTCTACAACGTCGCGCTAGTGAGCGGCGGTATGCAATCCTAAGCGACAAGGACGTACGTCTGTCCACGGGCAAGCATCGCCCTGCCCGGGGAAGGTGCCAGGAATCCACGAGTACTGCACAACCGCTCCAAATCAATCGACGTGCACCTCCGTATCCAGCTTTCGGACACGTACCTTGTCAGTGAAGTCCCAAACCGTCACGCCAACGCACTTCTCGACAGCGTTGCAAGCAGCGACGACGGTTTCGTAGTCCTTCTTCTGCTGCGCAATGCCCGCGGCGTCGGGAGGCAGGGACGTGAAGCGGATGTCGAGCTCCGTGATGGCGACCTCGAGCCCGAGAGCGACGAACTCCTCCATGTTCTGCTGCAACGTGGGCGGGACGCCGCCGACCTCGAAGTGCGACTGGAGGCCGACGCCGTCAATAGGCACGTTTTCGCTCTTGAGCCACTTGATGAGGTTCTTGAGAGCGGTTGATTTCGCGCCTATCGGGAGTGTGAGTGAACGTTTCGAGAGTGAGGACTTTGGGAGGGGTATGTGGGCGCGTACCTATGCCTTCGATGTTGAAGTCGTTGATGTACAGCTTCGCTTTGGGGTCCGCTGCGCGGGCCGCATAGAGCGCGAGCGGGATGTAGGTCGTGTTCAGAGTGTTGAAGAATATGTCCGAACGGAACGTCCCGTCGTCATTCAGCGCCTCTGGTGAGATGCGTCAGCGACACTTGAGTCGTGTGGTCAGATTGAGCTCACCGTTGATCACGTCCCAGCTGTCTGTATACGACGAGAGAACACACCAAGTCAGTCGCTATACGCATACTACGCAGTACCGACTGGTACGTACACCTGTATGGCGGAGAATCAGCGTCCGTTCCGTCGCTTAGCGCGAATATGACTTACACATGTCCCTTATAATGGCTGACCAGGTTGAAGCAATGCCGACTGACGATGAACGCGAGCTGGGACGGGCTGAAGGTGCCGTTCTCAAGCCAATCCGGGAGCTGATTGTGCCACACGCAATTGTGGCCGCGCAGAAGCTTGCCCGTCTTCTCGGTGAAGTTGGCGATGATGTCCCCGTCCTGGAAAGTGAATACGCCCTCTTCGGGCTCGGTCGCAAACTGAAGACGCATCGTTCAGCATAGGTCAATGAGCACACTAAGGAGCAGAAAACGCTGGACGCACCCATTTCATGACGTTCGCGGGCGTGACCTGCCCGAACTCGGCGTTGTTCTTGAGGATGTTGAAGTACGTCGTGTCGTTCCACTGCTCGCTGTTGGTCGCTGTCCCGAAGTACAGCTTCCTCGCGCTCTTCGCTGCCACATTCAAGCCGGAGACGGGGTGAAAGCTGCTGGTGTCGGAGGCAGCGGGCGAGGCGAGAGCCCCGCACACCAGAGCGGTAGTCGCAATAAGACTCAGCAGAGAAGGCATGTCGAACTCTGAAGATCGAGGGCGAGCTCGTAGTCCACCTTGCGCACCGCAAAGGCCTTTTATCGT